AGCCTTAGGGCAGGGAAAAATCCATGCATTTCCCAGTTCAGACACTTGACACTGGAGAGGCATGTGTTTCCTGAAGTGCCTTGGAACCCTCTGCCTACCTCTAGGACTGGGAAGCATGATTTTGTGCATATTCCACCTGGGTTTGTTAGGAGAGCATGTCCCTGCTGCAGCCACTGGTGCTGTGGATTTTGGGAATTGGAGTTGTCATTTTCCCAGCCTAGATGTATTTAACAATTGGTTGCAGCAATGGGTGTTTAATTATCTTGCTAGCATTTCCAGGCCAGCTATTTAACTTTATTTTTTTTCAAACCCTCTTGCTTCTGGAAATCCTGTAATCGAATCCAAGCTCTGTCAATCTAATTAGTTTTGAAGTGCAGAATCTCCATAACTTAGAGACCTAAATAAGCAGCTTAATATGAAAACCTAGTTTCTCTCCCAACATGTAACACCATCCTGCACTCCCCCCAGAAATTCCTCCTGAACAACAGCCCACTGCGACTGCTCTCCTATCCCTCTGTTAACCTCCCTCCTCTGTTCCCCGGCCTCTGCCCGGGCTGTGTCCATTGGGAACTCAAAGTACCAGGCTCATCCCTCTGCTGCTCTGCTTCAAAGAGCCTTTCATGATGCTGCTTGCGTAAAAGATGCTGATGCTGCTTCAAATGGCAGCACAGAGCGGTCCGGGGGCGGCGCGGAGCAGCTCCCGGTGCTGCGCAGAAGCCGGGCTGGGCAGGGGGGCTGCACTTGGAGACTTCACTGTGACGTGATCAGGCCCTGTGTGTGCTGCAGAGGGGGATCACCACGATTTATGGAGGGCAGGCTGTACTCTTCTTTGATTTTTTTTTTTTTTTTCCCCCAGTAGAAATGATGGTGCAAATAAGAGATAACACCAGTTCATTGAAAAAGAGTTGTGCGTGTTCTCGGCTGTTTGCTACTCAGTGTGGCCAGAGTCCTTAGAAGCTGCAGCTGTACAACACAGGTGTTTCTTGGCTTCTCAGCCACTTCTGCTCTTAGATTTCAATTTCTCTCGTTTTGTTTGTGGTTTTAATTATTTGTTTTCAGTTGCTGTACTGTATTGTGTTTTTTCAGTGCAAACTGACCCCCGCAACCTTTCTGCGCTGCTTTGGGATTTTGCTCATGAAAACCCTAACCTTGCCCTGCGTTGGAGCCATGTCCCTTGAGGGCCATGCAAGATTTGACTAAAGGAAGCAAATCTTCCCACCACCATGACAAGAGGTTGTTATTTTCTTCTCTTTTGTTAGTCTTCCCCTTTTTTTGGTGGCTGTCTGGTTTTCCTGGGACTGACAGGCCCCACAGCACATCAGTGGGGAGATCTGTATCCACCAAGATCTCCCTTGGCTCCCACAGCCCAAGGTGAAAGCCACGTGGCAGCCAGGCGAGCTCCCAGCAAAGTGAGCCTGGCTCCAGCAGGAGCTGGAGGGAATTTGGGCATTTATGCTTCGTCAGGAGGTTTCTGGCCATGAGAGTGTGCCCGGGGGAGTGCGGCTGAGCCGCCGGCCTTGGGGAAGGCAGGCAGCAGGCCGGCTCGCTCTGTAATTGGGGGCAGCAACCAGCTGCCTTTGATGTCTGAGCCGGGCTGAGAAAACCTGATGGCAGACTTCAAAGTCTGTTGCTCCAGCTCCTCTGATTATCTGTCGGCTTCTGGCGCGTCCCCCAAGACTGCCAGATTATCCTGGCTGATGCTGTGCTCTTCCCCGTGCCCCCCCCACCCTGCCTGGCGCCAGCCTCTTGCTTCCAAGGCTGCAGCTTCCATCCCTCCCTGTCCTCCTGCCTCTCCACATCACTGTGGGCATATGGCAATGGCATTTCTGGGTGGGAGACTGAGCTCCTGAGACCTGTGAGGCAGAGGCAGCATTTTTGGAGAGCTTGCCTCTAGCCTGCACCCCTGGGCTGTATTCCCCCTCCCCATTTGGTCACAAGAGTAAACTGAAATGTGGGGAGCTCTCTGCAGCTGCTCTTTGCAAGGCACAGAGGTGTTTACAGCCACATAGGCTGAAAACCTTCCTGTGCAAAGCTGGATTTGCCTCAACCTTTGGATGGTGACGTTTGTTGTGACTTTTCAGTGGAAGCCAGCAATGAATGTGATGGCTGCAGGCACAGGAAACCACAGCTTCCCTAACCCCAGGCACCCAAATGGGGTGAGGGAACTCATGGGAGCCATATAGCCTGACTGAGATCTGGGTTACAGCCTTTCCCCTGCGCTTGCCTAATCGCTTTTGTCTCAACAGACTCCTCCCCCTAAAAATAAACACTGATTACTTGGTCACCTCCTTCATCCTCAACAGCTTCCTCCACAGCCTTTCTACCCTGATGTGGGTCTGACCCTGCCTTATTTCCATCTCTCCCCAGGCTCACTGCAGTGTGAGTGTCAGCACTTGTCTAGCTAAGAGGTTTCCAAGTCACTGTGGATGTTGCTGATGGCTGCTCTGCTCTTTTAGGCAGAGCCTCCACCTCACTGCACTGGGCTTGGTAAAAATTTTCATGCTGCATTTTTGGTGGCATTTTTATGGAAAGCTTTGACCCAAAGTGGCTGAACAACCTCCAAAAAGGGAACCTTCAAAGGGATGCAGGGAGAGGCAGGAGGAAGGAGAACAGGTATGGAGGTATGCAATTAAAGATGGTCATCACCAGTGTAAAAGACAATGACAGTGGTCTGGGCAACCTAATCTCCAGCTTTATGCTCTAGAGGGGGGAGATGGTTGTATCCTGCTGAGGTGTACTGAGAGGTGGCCCTGCTGTGGTGCTGGCAGTAGCCAGGCTGTTCCAGGAGCTAGAGACCAAGAGTGTTTAATCCCTGTGGGCCTGTGCAGCACTTCAGTTCACCAGGTGGGCTCCTGGGCACATGCACGTGCCTCAGAGGAGGAAAGTCCTCTGCTCTGTGTAGGTACAGGCAAAGACCCTCTGTGCTATCCAAGAAGCATATTTCCCTGTCACTTCCTGTCTGGTGTCATGCCTGGGAAAATAGAGCAATGGAATCTTTCTCCCCATGGATTTGGACTCTGATATGGCTTCTAATGGCAATTTTGTCTCTGTAAAGAATTCTCTGATCCCCTTCCTTCACTCTGCCCTGCTGTATGTCTGGTTGCACTAATTTCCCAGGGAGGAAGAGTGAGTTTTAGCCTGTGCAGTCCCAGGAAGAGGGAGCTGTTGGTTTTGTCCACAGAGCATCATTATTGCCAGGGAAAGGGTTTGGCCAGGCAATCCCATTCTCCCGAGTTTCTCTACTGCAAATGTAAACTGCGACTCATGCATCATTAGAGTTGCAAGCTTGGAGTTAAACTGTCCCCGAGTGTGTGTTTATCTGCACACTGACTGTCGGAAGCTCACTGAGGTTGAACTCCAAGTTTCCTTTCCATTTACTCTGTCACTGTAGCAGAGATGTTTTGATGCTTTTCCCTCCTCCAAAGTGGTAAGTGGGTTGGCTTACTGTCAACAGGATGATCCCCCAGGGCAGTGCTGGCAGTGGGTTGCTCTTGGAAAGCAAACCTCTCCATCCCTTTCCTTCTGAAATGGGAAGGTTTAATCCTGCAGCACGGAATGTAAGCCTACCACACAGTTGTGGCTCTGCGCATGGCTGTGTCCTGCTGCCACAGGGCACAGACCCTCCTCAGGGTACATGTGGGATCCTGCAGGACCTCTGCCTGCTGCCACAGCCTGTCCCCTGGTCTGGATTTGGTTTGCTGAGGAGTTGATGAGGAGCTGGCTGATGGAAGGTCGAGCCTTTAAGCAAGAGGCCTCTGCCTCCACCCCCCAGCTGTCATATGTTGGTTTTATAAATGGGGAAAGGAGGGACCTCGTGTTTGTTTTGGGTTTTACATGAATCTCATTCCCTCTGGAAGCCCTCTGGGATCTAGCAAGAGGAGCTGTTTTATGGTTGGTTTTTGCTTGTGAATCCCTGCACTAATTAAGTCATTCAGTCAATCCCTCTGGCAGCAGTGGGAACAGCATGGCTCAGGGATGCTTTGGGGAAAAAGGCGCAACAACCCCACCCCAAAAATCCCCAAAACAAACAAACAAAAAAACCCCCACCAAACTAAAAAACCCAAGCAAATAATTTCAGCAGTGTCTCTGATCCTAGCTCTAGTGTTTTGGTTACATGCCTTGGGTACTGGGTTTTCCCTGCCCAGGACGTGCCCCTGGATGACCCACCATATGCCAGAACACCCCTGGCACCTGCCAGCAGGAGCAGCAGCGTGTCCCAGGCATGCAGCCACAGCATTTATCTCTGGGAATGTGCCAGAGCCCCTGGAACTGTGCTGGAGCCTCCTGCCCTCAGCCCTCCAGCTCAGCTCCCTGTGGTCTCATTGCTCCTGCCAGAACTGTTGGGCCAGGATCTCCCACATCCATGGGATGTGCACACAGGATAAAGTTCCTGGTCAGTTCCTGGCTCTGTGGTGATCCTTCAAGAGCCAACAAGCTGGCTGGACTGGCTGCTATGATTCTCCTGACCATGTAGTGGATGGGCTGGTGGGGGTGCTGTGGGAGGGATGCCCCACTGCACCCCAAGGCAGAGCTTGGTCAGCCATCTGCAAGGAGCACTGTGCCACCCTAGCCTGTACCTAAGGCATCATGCTGCTGTCTGCAGCCCTAGGAAATAAATAGCTGGAGCAACCTTCAGCCCTATAAATATGGTTCCATCCCTCCCTGGAATCCAGCCCCTTGTCCCCTCCTTGCTGTTAGCAGGGAGCAAGCTACTCTGTGCAATAAAGGGGAAGGAGTGAGACAGAGGTTTATCCCATGAGCTGCTGTTGGACAGCAAAGCCACAGCCAGTAGGTGCCCACAAGTGGGCATCTGGCATAGGCACAGTGGCAGAAGGGGCTTTGGGCATTGTCATACTTGCTCAGGTGGCCTGGGGACAGGGCACAGGCTGTCACCTCCCAGAGGGTGTTACTTTGCTGATGCACCCCGCTTTGTAACTTCTCCCTGCCGTTCTAAGCAGAGGAAACCACCACTGACAGACAGTTTCCTCCCAGCCACTTTCTAAATAACGGCGTGGCTGTCACTGTCGCCTGTGAGAACCATCACCACCCCTCTGGGAGAGGATCCAAGCAGAGCAGATTCCCATGGGGCTGGCACAGTGCCTGGCAGCTGCCTTCCTCTTCCTCCTCCTGGGTGAGTGCCCTACCCAGTGGCCAGAGCTTTCTTGGAAGTGTTGTGGGGAAAGCAGGGCATGGGGGGCTCAGCCAGTGCTGCTCTGGCTCAGTCACCATGGGAAGAGATGCCATCAGCATGTGCTCCTTCTGCACTGTGTTTTCACTCCAAAATGAGAGCCCAGACCCCAAGAGGGTTTCAGTGAGGGGACATACACGTCCCCATTGAGTGGCTGATTGCAGTGTGGAGGGCGTTACCTCACTCCCTCTCCCACTGAGAGGGAATTTCTGAAGGTTTCCTAGGCAGCCCTGCCACCAGCTCTCTTTCCTGGCCATTACAGTTGTTTTTTGTCTCAGGGCCCATGTCCTGTGGGCATTCTGCTTGGTGCACGTGCTGAGCAAATGTCACAGCTGGGAGCTGTATGGAAAGGGGGAGGGAGTGGCAATCCCCAGACCCTCTGCAAGCAGAAATGGAAGGAGCTCTTGATGCTTCCTGGTGTCCCCTGCCTTCAGAGGAGTTCTTGCTAACCCCCCGTCCTGTGCTTTCCTCTCTTTCTGCCTATGGAGCATCTCTGCAGCAGCCAGCCTGCTGCTGACCTCCACTGTCCTGTGTGCCTCAGCTTCTGCGTTGCATCTCCACCTCTGGCAGTGATCAGCTCTGCACCCCTGTTCCCTGTCCCCCACACTTTGTGCAGGACCTGGGAGCTTGGCCCTCTTCATTATAACACACCACAAGCTTCCTCAAGTGATCTCAGCCTGGTTGCTGCTTCCTCTGCAATGCTGCCTGAGAGAGGCTCTTCAGGCAAGAACGGGCTCAGCAGCCCCCTGGCCACGATGCTGTGGTCTCTGTCGTGTGACTCCCAGAGTGGCAGGAGACAAGAAAGTTCAGGGTTCTGTTGTCACGGGGCTTGTTCTTGTAACTGCACACCGTGTGTGCCGACAGGTCTGACTGCTGGCCAGCGGGTGGTGACTGTCCAGGAGGGACCCCTCTACCGCGTGAGGGGGTCCCACGTCACCCTGTGGTGCAAGGTGAGCGGCTACCAGGGCCCGGCTGAGCAGAACTTCCAGTGGTCCATCTACCTGCCCTCGGCCCCCGAGCGGGAGGTGCAGATCGTCAGCACCGTGGACCCCTCGTTCCCCTACGCCATCTACACCCAGCGCGTGCGCGGGCGCGGCATCTTCGTGGAGCGGCTGCAGGGGGACGCCGTGCTGCTGCACATCACCGAGCTGCAGGACCGCGACGCCGGCCAGTACGAGTGCCACACGCCCAACACCGACGAGAGGTACTTCGGCAGCTACAGCGCCAAGACCAACCTCACGGGTGGGTCCTGCATGGGGGCCTTGTTCCTTTTGGGGCGGTTTTTTTTTTCGGCCCGGGGCCTTTTCTTTTTTCGGGGGGCCGGTTGGGGAAGGGGGGGTTGGTTGGGGTTGGGTTGGGCTTGCCCGGTTTTCCCTTTGCTTTTTCCTGGTTATTGCCTCCCAGCCAGAGCAATGGGAGGGAAAGGAAGCCTCTGCTCTCCCGTGGCCTGACCAGCTCCTGGCACCGATGCAGCGTGTTGCAGCTGAGCACTTAGGGAGGAAGGAGTTTCCCTGCCCTGTGCATTAACTTGTCTTCTCAGGTCAGGGTGTGGGAATTGACCCAAGTGGGATACCCACCGATGGAGGGAGGTAGCAGCTCTTGCAGACCACTGGGGAGGGAAGGCAGTGGGGTGGAGATACAGATGGAAAGACCCAACTGTGAGCCCACTGAATCTGCATGGTGATATGGTACTTCAATTTGTTGTTCAGCCCTGTTTTCTCCTTCATCTTGGTGTAGCACCAGTCTACATTTGGGATAGTGAGAGGATGGATTCTAATCTCCTTGGGGTTGCCTGATTAATACTGAGTGTAGTTTGAAGAGGGCGCTGTCAAGAGATTCACTGTTTTTCTTGTTTGCTGAGATTTTAGTCACTTCACACCTCAACACAAAGTGATGGAAGCTTGTCCATCAGCTGCAGAAGGTTTTTCTCCTGTGCTGTCAGATCCCTTAGGCCCTGGTTGCAGTTTCTTGGGAGTTGTCCTATGGAGGGACATGAGCTGGACTCAGTGATTCTTGTGGGTCTCTTTTAACTTGGGATGTTCTGTGATTCTGTGTTTCTCCCCATGCTCAGTGATTCCAGACACACTCTCTGCTTCCATGGCACCCCAGGCCCTCAGTCACATGGAAGGGGATGCGGTGGAGCTGACCTGTGAGGTGTCCAAGTCCACTGCCCAGCACACCCATCTCTCAGTTGGCTGGTACCTTCTTCAGGGAGCAGGAGAGCACCGTGCCAAGGAGATCCTCACCCTCTCCAAGGACTTCATCCTGAAGCCAGGGCCCTCTTTTGAGCAGAGGTTTCTGGAGGGGGATGTGCAGCTGAACAAGGTTGGGAACACCACGTACAAGCTCATCATCAGGGAAGTGAAGCCATCTGACCAGGGGCAGCTGTACTGTGAGGCAGCTGAGTGGATTGAGGATCCTGACAAGACATGGAAGGACATCTCCCGCAGTCAGACAGAGAGGACTCGGCTGGCAGTTTTGGGCCAGGGTAAGGCCTTTGCAAACTCACCTGTTGGCTCCAACTCCCCTGTGCATTCCAGGCTCTACAGCAGCAGATTTCAGTGCCCCTTCACCTGCCTCTGCCGAAGCCCAGGGGCACACTGGTGGGTTTGGCTGGACCCTGAAGGGGTGGGCTGGGCTGAGCTCAGGGTCATGGCAGCCCCTGGTTCAGGAGCTGTTGGTGCTTTGCTGTTCATGCAGCCGAATCCCCAATGCCAGAAGCAGGCCCACAGCCTCAGAGACCCGTGCGAGGTGTTAGCAGAGGGCGCAGCGTGTGCCCACAGCAGCCTGGATCCTTGGCAGTGCTAAACTCCAGAGTGGAAAACAGGGTTGTTACACTGCCTCAAGGCTCTCATGGCCTTAAAAAAGTCAGCTGCTCCTTGCTGTGCCTCAGCACAGGCAGGGAGGGACGCAGGGATGGCCCTTGTGTGTGTGCACGGCTCTTTTTGGGGGTGGCTTGTCTGCTCCTGCTGCCACCAGCCCGCTGTTTCCAGAGCAACTGGTGCTGCTGTTTATTGGGCCTTTCCTCTGAGCATCCCTCCAGCCACAAGCCTTTGCTGGCTGCGGTCCCTCACCCTGCTCTTCCCCCAGATGCGTGTGAGTAGCTGTGCCCAGGAGAAGGGAGAATCTCCCTCTCTCACCAGTACACCAAGACAAGGTTGTGGCTAGTTGGTGTTCTTTAACATACTGTGCAGTAAAGTTGGAGCAAGTCTCCCACTGAAACTCTGCCTGTGGAGGTGGTGTACCGTGTCCCCACACCTCAGGGCGTGTGGAGGAGGCTACAGAGCAGAGCTGGGGCTGTGAGGGGAGCTGATGTCTCGTGGGAGGGTGGTGAGTCAGAGCAGGAAACCAAAGAAACAGATGGGTGAGAGCTAAGCACTCCCTACGTGGCGTGGTGCAGGGGAGCAAGGTACCAGGAGGAGGGGGAGGGAAGTGTGGTCTCTTGTCACCTTGTTTCCTGAAACTTGTCTGACTGGCAAAGCTTTATTTCCCTCCTTGTGCAGCGAAGACTTTCCAAGTCTGCTGCTGTTTGGGCAGCAATGGCAGTCAGTGCACTTCTGTGCATCCTTTTGTTGAAGAGGGCTTGTCATGACTGGTAGTGTGTAGATTCAGGCATTAGTTCATTTAGAAAACTTGTCAGAGTTTGGTGTTTGTCCTGTGGTAACTGTTTAAGGTAGAAGGGAGGTGATGGTGGTGAGAGGACTTTATGGTGGACAGTGTTGGTGCTCCTGGTATTGCCATGGTGGGACAGCAGTGGGTGTGCAAGCCCTCCATCAAATTTGCACGGCTGGTTTCTTTCTCTGGCACCCAGTGGCGGAACCCAGAGCTGAGCACCCTGTCACTCCGAGAGCCATTGACTACTCTGGCCATGGCTAACTGCTCCAGTGGTTTCTATAAACTCTGCAGCAAATATTTAGGAATGCCAAACATATCTGCAGCAGCTGGGATTCTTGTTCACAAACTGTTTATGAACCAGTGTTTAAATTCACAGGGTACTGTGCTTTCGATAAATTATTTGAGCCCTTCCAGTTGTGGTCTGGGAGCTGCTCTGTTTTACTTCCAAACTACAGCACATAACCTTTCCCTTTTTCTGAGACTCAGGGGGCACCACTGTGACCCAGGGACACAGTGGTGTGAGCCAGGGAATGAGGGCTCAGTCCTTCCTCCAGGTTTTTGGCCAAGCCAGTGCTTTGTGGGGTCATGGCAAAGAGTTTTGGGGTGCCCAGTGGGTCTCCTGCTTGCAGCCACTGTCCAGCCAGGCTGATGGCAGGAACCAGGGGCGTTGAATCCCAGTGAGGAAGGTGAATGGTATCATAGGACCCAGAGGTGGGGCTCCTACCTCAGACACAGCTGACTGCCCAAGGGGGTCTGCTAAGGGGAAGATGGCTTTTAGGTTCCCCCTGTCACTGCCTTCTTTGCTCAGCACCTCCTGCTAGTTGGTATGGGGGTCAGGATCCATCTTCTCTTTCTTCCTTCCTACCTCCTCATGCTGTGACAAGTCTTGACATTTCTGCTTTCTGTAGGACTTTAACCCAAATCCTCTCCAGCTTGGAGGGCATCTCTTGACCACAGCCCACAGTAGTCACTGGGGATTTCACCATGCAGGAACAGCCACAGTAGATTCAGACAAGTAACTTGATTGCCAGCCCTTCGTGCACCTTTTTCTACCACAAGCAGCAGAGTTAAAACCACCACTGTGACAAAACCCCCTTGTGCCACTCTTTGGCTTACAGGATAGGTGTTCCATGAGGTAAAACAGCTCCAGGAGGTGAGACAGAGCAGCACCTGCAAAAGCTGACGCCTCTGTGTTAGGGCAGCCCTCAGTTTGGATGCCTGAGTTGAGCAGGGGGAGGCTGTAGCCGAAGGCTGTCCCAGTGAATTCTCTGCTCTGTCGGGTTTATCTGCTCCTAAGGGGGGAGCTCAGCTCCCCAGGGCTCTGGCACTTCCTCCACCTAAAACTGCTGTTTAGTGCCCAGAGCTGACAACCCTCTCCCCAGGGTCAAAGTTTTCCATCATGACCACTTTTCTTATGAAAAAGCACCCACGTTTTAACAGATAATTCCTTCCTGTTGCCCTCTGCAAGGCCACTGGTGCTGCCAGGCAGGAGGGCAGCATGGGCAGGGCCACCCACCACCCTCCTTGTTTTTGGTTGCCCACAGGCAGTGACTTCTCCGTGGACATCACTGCTGCTGAACCCTCCCTTTCCGAAGGGGACACCTTGCAGCTCACTTGTGTGCTGGGAGCCCCAAAGAACAGCAACTTTAAAGTGATCTGGCTCCTCAATGACATGGAAGTGGCCAGGGTTGACCCCCATGGGGTATTGATTTGGAAGGAAGAATACGATGAGAGAGCCAAGCTGGGACAGCTCCGAGCATTCAAGCCAAGCAACACAATTTATGTCCTCACCATCTCTGAGGTGGGGCTGAAGGACAAGGGTACATATCAGTGCTCTGTGTCAGAAATGAAGTCTCCTGGGGACTTGCACAGCATCCAGACCGTTGTGTCATCAGGCATACAAGTCGACGTGAAGCCAATAGGTTAGTAAATCCTAATAGCTGCTCTTCTGGGTAAAGTCTGCAGGATCCTTGACTGGGGAATGCTTTAGGTCTGGCTTCTTCTTGACAAGGACAGCAAGAGTGCAAGTATGCCATAGTTTTTGATAGATAATGGGAAAAGCATTTGCTTTAGCATATATTAGCATGACAACCACAGTAGCTGTCAACAAAGTGTAAACCTTTAGTCCAGTCTCTTCGCAGTAAGTTTTGGGGCAAATAGGTAGAATTCTGAGGAGTCTGGGTCCTCCTGTATCTTTGGTACTGAAAACTGTGAGCAACATCTGCTGCTAATCCTGAAAATCACAGGAAAACCCAGCAGAAGAGGTACGTCTGGGGAGGGGGATCATTGCCATTTCCATCAGGGTACTCTCACTGTTTTGGATGGATTATTTGTGAGAAACCACTCTAAGAAAAGTGTGTAGGAGGCTCTTGGTTTCCTTGTCATAGCTAGATAATGGTTATTCTGATGTAGCAGGACCTGCCTGCTGGGACTCCGTTTTTAAGCTAATTCTTTATGTATCATGTCCCAAGAAAGACATAAACCAGAAAAAACTCTCAAAACAAGACAAAAAAAACCACCACTACAAAGCCTTCTCCAAATGTATAGGGGAAGTCTGGTTGAAAATTCCAGGCAATTCCCCAACTCCCTTCCTTTTCCAACATCAAGATTTATCTAGTCATTCCATTTAATGCTGCAGTATCTCGGGCTGCTCCTAAGGAGCGCAGCATCCCAGGGTGGCATCTGTCGTTCGCAGAGAGCCGCATGCGCCTGGCCGTGTCCACCAGCACTCCCCGGGTGACGGCGGGAGAGCCCCTGGTCCTGCGCTGTGAGGTGCAGGGTGCCACCGGCCCCGTGTCCCTGCGGTGGTGGCACCTGCCGCCGCGGCTCCCGGGGCACAGGGTGCTGGTGGCCACCATGGAGCAGGATGGCAGCCTGAGCCTGGGCAGCGCCTACCAGGACGGGAGCGCTCGGGGGAGCCTTTGGCTGCGGAAGGAGAGCTCCGGCACGTTCACCCTGGTGATCCCCAGCACGCTCGAGGATGACGGAGGGCAGTACAGGTGCGAAGCAACGCAGTGGTCCCGAGGCCAGAGCTGGACAGGGAAGGGGGAGGCAGCAGTGACGGTCAGCTCCATGGGTGAGTTCAGCCATCCCTATTTCTGGGCTGCAGGCAGTGCTGGAGAAGCGGGTGGGCACACCAGCGGGACACAGGCCTGCTGTGCTCTGAGCTCTGCTGCAGGGTGACCTAGGGCTGATCACTTGGCCCTGCAGTGCCTCAGTTTCCCTATTTCTGCCAGGATGCCAGAGTCCTCCATGGTGTGTTTTGGGAGAGAGCAGTGGGAGACAATGGCTAAAACGCTGGGAGACCTGAAGGGCAGTATCTTGCTCAGCAGGCCTGTCTCCTTAAGCCTGAATACAAAATATCTGTCCTAGTAGGATAATTACTTGCAGTAATTAGTTCTACAAAGCTACTTGCTGAATTGTGTGGTGGTATTTATCAGAGATACACCCCTGGTGCTGGCCTCTGATTGCTTCTCCTGCCCTCTTCTCTGAGTGCAGAGCTGCTAATCTCCAGGGTGTGCAGTGACAACATCCTTCCTTCTTGGGTGCCTTTATGGAGAGGCAGCTTTTGGCTGTGATTTAGGGTGATTTTCCTTTCTTGTTTCTGGGCTGGCTGCCTGAGAGCACCATTGAGGCCAGAGGAATTGTTAAGTTTTTGTGGAGGGTGGAGGGAAGCAGCAAACGGGACAACAGCATCAGCAGTGGATCCCTGGCTCCTCCACTGTGGGTCTGGGGACCCTGGAAAAAAAGGTACTCAGAGTTTTCTGGGAAAGTGGCAGGTGGGAGAGGGCCAGAGGCTGCACTGGGTGGCAGAGCATAGTGCAACCAAGTGGAGAGTGGTGCTGGCAGAGGAGCAGCAGCATTGCTGGTACCACGGTGCTGCAGTGCCTGGGGCTGCATGAGAAGGGTGGTGGTGAGGTGGCACAGGGCAGGACTTGTGTCCTCATGCCAAGGGCAGGACTTGTGTCCCTGTGCCAAGGCTCTCTCCTCCCGAGCAGGTCTCGGTCTGCACGCCACGCTGAGAAGCCGAACTGCCTCCGTCAGTTACGGGCAGAGTTTTGAGCTCTTCTGCCAAGTAGATGCCAGCTACGCCCTGGAGGAGGTGCCGCTGTCTGTGCGGTGGCTTTTCCAGCCCAGCCCACCCACGGGTCCCTCACACGAGCTGGTCCAGGTCTTTCCCAATGGCACTGTGCTCTGGGGGCCAGCACAGCCACACTTCCAGGGGAAAGCCCAGCTGGTGAAGACTGGCACCTCCTTCAGGCTGCACATCCACGGTGCCCTGCCTGCCAATGAGGGGACGTACCAGTGTGAGGTGGAGGTCTGGAGGAGGAACATCCTGCCCCTGGGACAGTCAGCAGCCAGCACCAGCTCCAATGCCGTGGGAATAAAAGTGATGCTGCCAGGTAAGCAGAGCCTTCAGCAGAGGTCTCTCCTGCAACTTTAAATCCATCAAATGTGACCAGGGGCAACTAGGGCCACTGATGTCTGGGGTGTCCCCAGCAGGGTCGCCTCCCAGGGCTGCAGGAGATGGTGCTGCTGTTCTAGGGCTTCCTCAGCACCTGACAAAACCTTGGAGGCAAATTTGGTGTTGGCAAGTGGCAGTATATTTACTGGCAGATTACACAAAGCATATAGGGATCAGCCTTGCCACCAGGATTTTAAGCCTGCTTTCTGGAAAGAAGCAGTGCCCCCCCAAGATGCCCAGCTGAATGTTTGGAGTGTGAAGCACGGGTGTACATGGTGTGGGCTTCTGGGAAGCAGTAGAGAGAGAGCAGCCCCTGAAGCTGATGCTGGGATGTGTCTGTGTTCCCTGAGCAGAATATTGAAGGTATGCTGAGAGAGCAGCAGGCCTCTCTGCCGGGCTGGCAGCCAGCACTGAGCCTCAGGGTGCCAGGGACTCGGTGGGGAGGTATCTCCTGCCCATCCTATTCTCTGGGCACAGCTGGGCTGCACAGCTGGGGCCCTGCCCGGGCTTCCCTTTTATGGGCACCCCTGCAGGCAGGGCCTGCGCTGCCATCCCTCCTGCCAACATCCTGCTGGGAGCTTCATCCTCTTATGGAAGAGAGATGTTGCAAGCAGACCCCAGCCCCGCAAGCCACCCTGCTATGCTCCTGCTTCCAGCAGCACCACGGTGTCAGCGTGCCCTGCTCACAGCTGGGGCTGCTGCAGGAATGACAGGGTTTGTCCTGGCCAGAGCCCCTGAGCCTCTGGAGGCAGCTGTGAGAATATGGCTGGTTTGGTTTTTCTGCCCTCGTGTCTGTTCTGCCAGCAAAGGAGAGTTCTTGCACTTTTTTTTTTCCTTGCAGTAAGTGCTCCTTCCTCTAAAATCCTCGGATTTTCAGAATCACAACCCAGTGAACTGAAATTATGCATTTTTCATGTATTTTAACTGATGGGTTTGCTGTCGTGTAAGCTAATACATTTCCTACCCTGTCTGGGCTCTTTTCTCTGGTGCTCTCTCCTGTCCCACTGTTACTGATTCCTCACCCCTGTGGAACTGACTGCTGGGATGCTCTGTTGAACACTGGAGCTACAACCACTGGCAGGGTGGCAGGGAGGCAAAGGGGTGACAGTAATCAGCATCTTTGAGTGCATATCTCTAGTGTAAATGGCATTAAGATGAGCAGGTGTAATTGCAGAGCATCTACACAGAGGAGATGGTAGCAGCATGAGGCTACAACATTTGGCTCCAAATGTGTTGCAGCTGCTGCTGGGGACTGCAACACGGTAATGATGGTGGGAACTGGGAGAGGGTGATGCACAGTGGGAGGTTCCTGCTGGCTTTAGTGCCAGCTCTCTTGGAAAGGCAGCACAAGCCAGTAGAGGATATTTGGGAAGGTAGGGAAGTCTGCGGAGGAAGCCAGCTCAGGCAGCAACAGGGTTGAGGGGAAGCTGCAGAAAATGATGCTGCAAATCATGAAAATCACCAGCCTGCTTCTCCTCATATAAAACCTTATAGTTGGAGCCTGCAGAGATACTGGAATTCTTGACTTTTTGCGTCAGCACTTTGTTTACTACATGTCAGTTCATGCTTTAGGAGTTTACATGTTGCTGTGGTCTACGGATCATCTTCAGATGGGAGGGACATGCATGAAAGATTATCTTACTTTGACCAGTCTCAAGAGAGACAGTGAAGGCCTCTGAAGTGGATTGCTAGAGTTTTGAGATTAAATACTTGAAGGAATGGGAAATGTGCAAGCTTTTTGCTGCAATGTCCCCCTTCCTCCTCAGCCCCTGTTGGAGAAGCTGCAGCTCCCTCCTGTCCCAAAGCCCTCTCCACAACCTGCTGCCACCACATCCCTTGGGAGAGGACTGGAGAGTGCCCTGCTGAGCCTGTGGCCAAGGGCAGGGGTCTGAGACATTCTGAGGGACCATCTCAGTGTCTCCTCTGCTGCTTGTCCCCAAACCAACACTCAGGAGCTGAGCCTTAAGGGAGCTCAGTTGTCCCCAGCCTCTGTGGCAGAGGGTGTTCTGCTGCTTAGCTCATATGCAAGGAAAGTGCTAAGAATGAAAACTCAACCTACAGTCCCTTAAAACCCTGATGGTGTCTCCTGCTGAGTAATTTCTCCCTACCCGAGAGTACATACCCATGTGTATTCCTTCCCTGACTGCACTGCATGGAGGGAAAATGCAGGTGGCTGGAGGACCTTTAAAGATACAGATCTGCAGCCTTTTCACTGCTGGAGAGGTTCCAACAACAGGTGATGTGCTGTGGGAAGAGGTTCCCTCAAAGCAAGAGCAGCACAGACATATCAGGATCAGAATTTCCCTCTGCTGAGGGCAGAGCTGCAGGCAGCACCATCCCTCTGCTCTCCTCAGCTGCACAGCATTGAACAATCACTGGGTGTGATCACAAAGGGTGTGCAGGACTCTGTCCTGTGCTTTTGGATTAATAACCACAGCAAACACCTGAGATAGCAACTGTTAGTGAACCCCACAGAGGCTCTGTAGTCTCTCTGTGATAAAAGACACTTGTTTGCAGTCTGCAAAGCCGTGGGCTGGTTTTGTCACGTATGTGTGAGCCTGCTGATGGGAGCAGTGGTAGACAGACACATTTGCTTCAGACAGAGGCTTTGCCTCTAAGCTCCAGCACAATGGCTGCCTCCATCCCCCATTCCTGCTCCATGGTCTCCAAGGCACCTCCTCTGCTACTCTCCTGCCCAGTGACACCCAGCTGTGATCCCCTGCAATTGTTTGAACAAGGGTGTGAGGATTTGCTCTTTCCCTCCTTCCTCCACCCTCTGCTTCAGCATCCTCTAATGAGCCTTTGTCCTCAGTGCACCCTCTTCCTTACTCCTCTTGCAGTGTGTTTCTCTCAGGACAGCTTTATTCCTCTCCTTGTCAGTGTCCCTGTATTGGCAGCTGCATCTGGCATGATTGTTTTGTTTCTCCATTTTAGAAAGCAAGCTGCAGGTTGCTACGACAGACAGCTCTGTGGAAATTGCCAACGGTAACGCAGCCATCGAGTGCAGGATTGTGTTTGCCCAGAATAATTCACAGTTTGCTGTTACCTGGTACCTCCTGCCTCCTCTGGCAGGTGCAACACCCCTGCAAATCCTCAGGGCCAACTACAGTGGCATACTGGAATACGGGTCTGAATTCAGCTCTTCTGCACAGAAGTCCCGGTTCCTGAGCCACAGGGTGTCCAGCAACATATTCCAGCTGCAGATTCTGTCTGCAAACCTTGGGGACCGGGGCAGGTACTACTGTGTGGTAGAGGAATGGCTCTGGCTGGTGGATGGCTGGTACAAGCTTGGAGAGGGAACATCGGGAAGGACCACGCTGAACTTCAAACTCTCAGGTGAGCAGGTGTTATCCCTTGTATAGGTGCTGCTGGGGAAGGTTGGATCAACTGATGACAGGCCCCTGCCAGGCCTCTCCTAAGCTGGCAGGGCTTAGGAAAAGCAGCAGCTCCTGTGTTGGATCACAGGCTTAGGGATGCAGGAGTTGTCAGTGCCTCTCAAAGGGAAGGAGGGAATTAGGAAGATTTGCCACATCCTCCCAAACTAACTGAGCTGCTATTTTTGCTACTGGCAGATGTAGTTGAATGCTTCATAACAAAGTCAATTGTGGCCTTTTTCTTTTCCCTCCAACACCTGGTGCACTTGGGTGGTTCTACAATACTGTGAATAGAAAAGTTGTCCTTACCTCATGCTCGTGAGCATCCTGAAGGAAAACAATTGGTTTTCCTTACCCTGAAGCACATTGCTGCTAAGGAACAAGACTGGAGGTTCAACTTCTCTCACCTTAATCACTGCACCTCTGGGGTGCATAATGGATCTCCCTGGCTCAGTTCTTCCCTCTCTCAGCCTCACTCCAGCCTTAAATAAAGTGCATCAGAGAATTCTAGCTTCCTAAATAGCTTTTGGCCCAAAAGATACCTTTATCACTTATTTGGAGGGGATAGGAAGTATTACTGAGCAGAGATGATAGGCAAGGTGGTGGATGCCCCAGGGAGAATGAGTCCACAGGAGCAAGGGGCCCGTGGGAGGCCATTCCAATACCTCACACTTTGCTCCAGAAGGCTCCTGTCAGCCTGTGGGCGCAGGCTGAAGCGTTTTCACAGCTGTACAACATCACAACATCTTTCTGCTTCACTGTCCCCCAGAGCGCGAGCTGCAGATGGACAAAAGCAACCACAGCCTCTCTGCGAGGGAGGGCGAGGAGGCGACGCTGCCCTGCCGGCTGCAGGGTGCTCCCCTGCCCGGCTCACAGCTCTCGGCCACCTGGTTCCAGGTGACGAGCAGTGGCCGTGACAGCGCCCTGCTGGCCCTGCAGCCCGACGGCACCGTGGAGTACCCCGAGGAGCGCCTGGCAGCCCGGCTGTACCTCCGCCGCCGCTCCGCTGGCGACTTCGGCCTGACGCTGAGCAGCGTGGAGAGGGGAGATGCCGGGGCCTATTACTGCCAGCTGCAGGAATGGCAGCAGCAGAGCGAGGGGAAGGACTGGGCTGTGCAAGCCTTGGCATGCTCAGGGTACACCCAGCTCACCACCGTGCCTCCAGGTATCGCTGCCGGGTGCCAGGGGCTGATCACCCTGCGTGGCTTGTCTCCCCATAGCCGTGCTGGGGCCAGAACCTACATGTTTTGGGGGGGAAATTGTTGGTGTGACTTCTCTGGCAAGTCTGTCGAGACTGAGGTCTCTGAAAACAGCCTCTGTTTGCTTTGGGGTGAGTGGGGGTGCATGCTGGGTGCAAAGGTAGGACTGGATTCTGCGTTGCAGAAGTTAAAGCAAAAAAGCAAAGGTTTCAGTCAGGTGCACACAGCGTTTTTAGGAAGGTAATAGGCAGGAGTTGTTGCTGCTTTGGGAAAATAGGAGGCTCAGATGACCCATGTGGAGGAAAAACTATAAACTGTGAAATCAATCATGATGCACCCAGCTGAGAGGATCTTGCACTTGTACTCACCTTCATCTCTGGAGCTGCCATGCCTGAAGCCAGCCTGGGTGCCTACACGAGTTATGGCTTCTGCAGCAATTCCCAGAGCTGACCAGCATGGAGTGACCCTGCAGAGCCCTCCCCTGTGCCTGCTACTCCCACAGCCAGGCACGGGGCCTGCTCTCATGATTTTGCACCTACAGCAGAGCTAATCTGGATTTAATTGCACAGAGAGGGACTGACAGCACTTCATCCCCCCTGCTGTTGTGTTACTGCTGTTATCCATCACAGCTCTCTAGCTTGCAAGATTTCTCCTTCATCAGCTCCCTCTATCTCTTGTTGCCCATTACTGGTGGAGTAACCATTGCTAAAACTGCTCAGTAACTGGTAGTAAATTCTCCTCCAATTTTTGAATAAGTGTTTTGCCAAGTGCTTTGCATGGTTTTCACAAAAGGCAAAATATTAGCTGGGTGTTTTTTCTTTCTCTTTCAATTTTTTTTTCTTTTTGGAGGGGTGGCCATGTGTGTGCATGTGTGTTCCTCCAGTGATGCAGGTATCTTTGAAGTACCCAGCAGCCTCCACCTCAGCTGGGAGCTGCTTTGCAGGAGCTGCCAGGGATGAGGATGGTGCTCACAGCTGCCTGCAGCTCAGTAGGGATGAAATATGATAGCAGATCAGCAGTAACAAGGAGGGGGGCAGATGTCTGGGGGGACAGGGACCTCTTGATCTGGTTTCCTTAGCTTTCCTCTTATCCCATCTTGCTCAGTGGTGCAGCCTCTGATAGACTTCTACCTCACCCCACTGTCACTGGTGTCAGGCAGAGTATGTTGCTTGTCCTTACTGAGCCCAATCTGGAATGGGTTTGCAGAAGAACTGGGCTGTTTCTGTTGGGATCTTTCAGATGAACAAGCCAGGGCCTTATCTGACCTCCCCAGACAAGAAATTGAGGCAAATTACCTGGTTTCTCTCCCTCTTCTCCTCAGGTAGCCTGTATGAATTCTTAAAAATTGGTAGCTGTTGAAGATGGAGGGAAAAGTGTTAAGAAAATAGCACTTAGGAATGAGAAACTCAAAATAGCTTGAGGCCTCACTTTTTCTTTCTTTTTTCCTCCAGAGTCGACTGTTCTATCTAGGATCTGCTCATCCCCACCACTGCTGAACTTCATCTTATTCTTACCACTGGTTCTGATCCTTCTCCTGGCCCTTGCTCTCTTCTGCTGGTACTGCAAATTCAGGAAAAACAAGAAGGGCAACATCACAGGGTGGATGATGGAACTGGAAGGGAATGAAGAGGCCAAGAAAACTTAGCTGGGCTGTAGAGGCAGATGTAACTTGGAGGAACAGAGCTGGACAGCTGAGGAGTACTGAGTATTTGCAGAGGGACTTTTTATTGTTTTGTAGTAGCTCGTGCAATAAATCCTTGAAATTGTGTTTGCTTTTGATGGAATGAGGCAGCTTTGGAATTACTAAGCAAATAGAGTTTTCATAACAAGTATTTCTGTATTTTTTATTAGGTACTCGCCCATTTCCTGCTCTGTTTGTTGTGGTACATTGGGAGGTCCTTGCAGTATGCACCTCCCACTGTGGATAGAAGAGATGTTATTCCTCTGTAGGAATAAGGGGAAAAAACAGCTCTTTCTGCACTGTGACACAAAAGTACCACATTTCTATTAGTTTTAGGTGTCTTGACAAAATCTATGTGGTGTCCAGGCTAAAAAACAGTGGTAGAACTGGAAGTGGAATACTGGTGTCCCATTTAAGTCATTGCCCTTGCCTTTGCCCACTCTTTGCTGAGGAAGCTCTTGGACACTGCTGTTTTCACAGTCTGAGAGTGCCTTTGGCCAAAGAGCATCACCTCTCCAAAATGAAACAGATCTTCATCACAAAACCTGTCACAGGAACTTGAGGACTGGGCAAGGCTGGCTGGGCCTGAAGAAAGTCCAGAGCAGAGGAATCACAGCCGTCCGCAAAAAGCCAAATCATGTTGACCCAGTAAAGGACTGGCAAGGAGTCTTGGATCCCAGAAGGAAGATGCAGACACCAAACCATCTCAGAAATAAGCCTACAAAGTTTCCAGCTCTTTCCTTTGCTTCTGCTGTAGGAGAAGACAGCATCCAGCCCCTGGTTCCTGGGCTATCTGTGGGTCAGGAAGCTGCACAGCTGGGACCTGCTGTTAGACACATCCAGCTTGTCCCACGTAAATAAAAAAGCCAGGTGTGTGCTTGTGGGGCAGCTCGTCTATACCCTGGAATCCAGCTCGGGCTCACCTTTTCAAGGCTGAGGAGCTCTGCTACTTGAAGAGTGTCTGGCTGATGCATAGAAGAAAGAAGATGTCTATCCAGTTCTGATAAGCCAAAGGATATTCCACCCATAATTGTGCCAAATAGGATGTGGTCCCAGGGAGTTGTAAGGTCAGGTTTCAGGGCAACACTCTAAGCACTGTCCTCAGACCAAAGTAGCTTTACAGAAACCTCAGCAGACACTTACAAACATGCTTCCTGCGACCACAGAGAGATTTGGAGACACCACAGCCCCTCTAGATGATCTGTTCTTTCACTTTCTTTGCAATTAGGAAAGCTGCCTGACTTTATCTGGAAGAACTTACAGGTGCTTCAGTCACTTGAAAATCAGTATTTGCACACATCTGCTCCTGTTTCCCTGTTCAGCCACCTCTGTCTGTGTTGGCTGGTTCCAGCTTGCTCAGGCTTTTCCTGCAGGATGTTTTCTGGACCCCATGCAGCTTTTCCCTTTGCTGCCCTGACCCCAGCTGCCTCTCCCACAGCGTGAGTGCTCAGAGCTGCATGTGGGGCTCTCTGCAGAGGTTTCCCCCCTGCCTTGTGGGTTATGTCCCGTTTACACACCCCAGTAGGATGTTTGATTTTCTCTTTGCGTGTGACAGCACGGCGCTGTTTGTGCTTGGCTCCTGATCATCAGGCTCCTCTCCTGCAGATTTGCTGTCTAGCAAGTTGTGTCTCCACTGTGTGTTCAGGCTGTTGACTTTTCCTATCTAACTGAAGCCCCGTTTTCACGGGGGTGTTGAACAGCTTTCTGCACCAGTTTGTGGAAGATCCTGCTGTCTGTCTCGATAAAGCTTTAATTCATGGGCTGGTTTCTGTCTGTTTAACAGAGAAGCAGATGCTCCTGGGATATTAAACTCCTACAGGTTTCATGGGAAGTGGTAGGTGGATGAAAGAGAGGAGCAGGCCACCGAGGGAAGGCTGCAGTGAGAGTTGGCCACCTGGTGCCTGGTTTGTGTTTAGGGGATATGGAAAGGAGATGTAGGTGTGCTAGGGCATGGGAAAGGGAAGAAGGAACTGCTTCTCACTATCAACTGTTAACAATAAATCTATGACGTAGCTTATCTGCCAATTTTGTGCTGTTTATCCTGGTTTTGATTTGGATTGTTTCCTTAGTTTGACCAAGAATACCTTGGGAGCCCACTCCACAAACCTTGGTAAAGTCAAGAATATATGATGCCTGCTGCTTATCCCTTCCCACAAGGTTTTCAGTCCTATTGCAAGGGAGATAGGTAGGTCTGCTTTGGTTTTGTTCAAAACAAAACAAAAAATTAGTAGGTTGGATTTTTTCTTGCATTCTTTTTAGTACTTTTAAGTACTTTGTATTTCCCTGGGGATTATAGTTGAAAAGATGGTGTTCAGTTTCCACTTCTTTTTAAACAGAATTTTGTCCTATTCACCTCACACCTCCTCAGATATTACCACAGCAAACTACTAATAGATGGCTTGACAGCTCATTCTTTATGTGGCTTAGGATGAACCTCATCAAGACCATCTTTCTAGTCAAAAATCTGAATTATTTAGGTTGCTACTCATTACCAGAATGGTGGAGACAGCCCCTACCCTACTGTAGAAGTCACATGTGTGGGTCAATCTCCAAAAGCTGTGTGAGCTCTCTGGGTGACCTGGGTTTGGTGCACCCCCAGAATTGTGCTGTCTCCCTCACTCAGCCACCTCAGGAGCCTATGGCAGGTCTGTGGAGGCATCTTTTATGCCATCTGATCTGCACACAAAAAGCTGCAGACTGCTGAAACATGAGGTTTTTTGTGTCTGGTGTACTGGGAGAAAAAGGTGGGCAGAGAGAGGGAGGTTTCTCCATCAACAGGGCACTTTCTTCTTCTGTGCTATTTTTGCTCAGTTAACCAGAGCCCCTATAAGTAGCAGCTTTCCATTCATGCAGGTGTAGAGGTTTTAATTTAAGCTTGTAAGTGTGCCTAGGGCCTTGATGAGAGGGTCTGCAAGGAGAATTTGTGTCTTTGCAGCGGTGGGCTTTTTACCCTATTTTTTCTTCTGGTTTTGCTGGGTCACTGCCAAACCTGTCAGCTTGGCTGAATGTTTAAGATGTATTTTTTTCCATGAGTGAACTTAGAGTTGGAACTTATTACAGCAAAAGCTCCAAAACTGTCCTGTTTTTAAAGAGAACATTCTGTCAGCTGAGGTAAATGTATGAGAAGGAAGAGGGTTGTGTGTGCTTGGTGGGACAGGGGGAGGGTGTCAGTTTTGCTGCTGAAGCTCCTGATCACCTTTACCCACCCCCATCAACACCATTTGCTTAAATTCAGCTTATGATATAAATTAGAACAGCTGATAAAATATATATTTAGCTGTTATACTCCCCACCTGAAGGGGAGAAAACTGTGCAGCAGCACAGCAGTGTCTGTGCTGTACCCTGTCCTCCACATGTGCCCTTGCCCAGGGAATGGATGTCCTGTGTGAGGGCAGCATGTGGCAGGGAGATCCAGGGTTCCTTCACAGGTTTTAAAGCAGTTTAAAAGGGTTACAGGGCAATGCAGGGCTTGGTCCATGAGGAGTTAATCCACTGGGAAGTGGTTGCATGGGGCTGTTAAAACAGAAGTGTTGTGTGGAATGTTTTCATACGAAGGTATGGAAACTGTAAGGCAAGGGGAGAGAAGCACACTCCTGCAGCTTGGATGGATGATGTGAGGGTGAGATGGATGGGAATATAACCCCTGCATTGTGTATCCTTCCTGGAATTCTCCTCTGGGCAGGAAAAAAGCCTGTGCTCAGTGATTTATCCAACATGCCAGGATCATGCCAGTGACTGACCTGCACTGAGGACTTATTTTGGCAAGAGGGAGGGTGGGTGATGAGCTGATTGCTGTACAAGAGTGGAGGGAAGTGATTTGCAAGCAAGGAGATCGTTTGTGGCTGATGGCTCAGGGTTTCCTGGCCTGCCCTGCTGCTCTGGAGCAGAGGGCACAAGAACAGAAGGATGTCCTGGACTGCCAAGGCAAGGCTGCTGAGGAAGGTTGCCAAACTTTTGATAAATTATTCCAAACAAATGACCTGGGGTTTTCCTGGGGTGCCCTCTCTCAAGCAGCATCTCTTCATTAGTTCCTATTAACTCTGAGTTGGTTTTCACATCTGACATTCAGTTTTCTTCCTATGATAAAATGTTTAAAAACTGGAAATAAAAGAAGTAATTTTTATTATGTGCTTTGGTCTCACTTGATGCTATTTTGCATTCCAGGTGTTCCCTGCAGCCCCTACCTGTTTAGTGTATCCTTTGGCCTTGGTCTTGGGCATTTAGACAAAGCAAAACCACTCATAGAACTCTGAACCTTCCTTAGCCATTAAGAAACTGCTGCACTGGATCTGCCTGCTGCTGGGTTTTTTGGTTCTTTTCAAATCACTTGCTCTTTTCTTCCAGCAGATAATATGGCATTATGTAATTATTGTTATAGCTGCAGTTGCACAGGGCAGAAGAGGAGTAATGCTTGGCAGGGCAGCAGCAGTACAGCTGTCAGGCTCGAGGTGTGAAGGATGGGTAAGAGGGGTAGGGTAGAATCTGGCTCAGTTTGCTGTCACAGCAGGCAGGGGGAACCAGCTCAGTGTCCTTTTAGCCACCTGCACTCCCCAGAGAAGATTCTGGTTGTGGTGGTGTGGGACTGACAAGACTAATGTGTGTACCTGTGCTGTACCTACTCCTTGTAGGGGTGAGAGGAACATTCCTTTCTAGGGCTGTCGACTAAGTGTGAAAATTGACCTGCTGGAGGGAGAACACTGGTTTTATCATTATTTTAAGCATGAGGGAATTAATGGGTGAATGTTGGAAGCTGTATGGCATACCAGGAGGGGCTGTGACTCCTCCCAGCCCCCTCGTGGGATGCTAATAGGGAGGAGAGGTCCACTGTCCCATTTGAAAGAGAAGGGCCATGACCAATCGATGTTAAATGCGGCGGCAATGCCTCACACGGTGGCCGCGGGATAAAAAGGCAGAGGCAGCCTGAACTGTAAAGACATTTCATTTCCCTGGTAATGAGGGAGACA